AAAAAGTCGCTATTTCTTTTAAGGAATAACATTGTGTCAAATATAGATGATTCACAATAACAAAAAATCATGATCTAGATTCTGAATTCATAATATGCACATGGTAGTTGATGAAAGAAGAAAAGAGGGAAAAAACATATATAACTAGAAAATAAAAAGTCACTTACCTATACAAGTCACACGCTGAGTCCAAAGTACCAATACAAGTGAGTCATGGTATATCCAAAAGCCTATAAATCAATGAATAGTTATCACCACTAACTTCAAAAGTTATATTGATAAATTTGTGGTGTGAAAGCTGTAAACTTATTGTATCAGTCTACCTAAATCTTTGGTAGTTTACTAGCTTAGGTTCTGAGACTCCTAGATCACCATATTTGCTATGTTCAAGGATCCAAATCTTAAGACTCATAACTTCTGATTCAAAAGTTCATTTCACAAGTATGATATATCATCATGAAAGTCTCATAGCCCGTTACAATTTAAACATTACTTTCGTCTAAAGAGATCACCAGATGGACCCTTTTTGGTAGCCTAAAATCGTCTGGTCATTAGAATTTTCTCGGGTTCCTAGATTTGGGCAGATTTAAGATACCAACTTTAAAAATTCATAACTTTTAGTACAAAAATCCAAACAATGAAATCTAAGCACCATTTTAAAGATCTCATCGAGAAATGCAATTTAGAACCAAAATCTAGTAAAAAATGTCACCAGAATGCCAATTTTCTGCGGCCTAAAGTCAGCTGATCCCTTGTGTTTCAATCCAAAATTTAACCTAGCTTTCCATCTATAAATCCAAAAGACACAAGGTTGAATTCGTTGGATTCCTAATGTCAATAAGTATCTATTAGAACTATTTTTATTGTTGGAGATTGTTTAGAAAATGATCATCTGGCAAAAATTCTAATTTTAAATTTAATATAGAAGAAAACAAAAAACAAAAATCTAAGGGAGAAAAAGACTTACCTAAAGAGTGATTTGATGCAAAAACTCACTGATTCGCTAATGATATATTGTCTTCTCCTTCTCTTAGCTCTGAAAAAAAAGGAGGAAAGAGTTCTTGCATTAGCTAAAGAAATTAGATTTCTTTTTTAAATGCATTTTTCCTTTTTGCTAAAAAGTCCTCCCTTACAAATAAATTCCGAACAGCCCCTCCTACAACACCCACTCTCCCATTATTAACCTTAGTGGGTTTTTTTTTTTTTC